GAGTAGTGGCCATGATGGTACAACAGATTCATCGATGACAAGCAATGAAGAACGTACAGGTGGTCAAGATGACATTGATGATAGGATCAAACGCGTCAAAGAACATAATACCAAAAAATAATCATATCATTTCGTCACTCCATCTGGACTCATTCTTCCCCTAATGTGTTCTCTTTTACTCTCTTCTCTGCATTTCTTTCCTTCGCATATTTATTCTCAATTATAATTACTCAACTCTCACCCATTGTGTTCACAAGTAGATTATTCGTTCGTTTTTTCATCGTCTCTCTCTCTCTCTCTCTCTCTGTTTCAAAATAACATTTTATTGTAGTGTTCTTTCTTCTATTCACTTATTGATTTTTGCTCTATTTATTCCCATCTTTATTCACTTATTTTATTCAACCATTTACCTATCTATTCACAAATATAAACTCATTGCTCAATTCTCCTTCGAGAAAAACCTACTTTTACATGTACATAACCACGAAACAACATCATATCACATAATCGTAAACTCACCAATTGTTCACACACCCTTTCAGCAGCATACCACATATTGAGGGTGCCTCGAAAGGCCCGGCCACTAGGCAAAGGAAACATTACCTACCTGATGATCGATCCTTCGAAAAGATCGAAATCGCGATAGTAGGGCTCCACTATATATAACTCACCTATATATAAATTGGATTATCTGCTGCTGCTGCTGCTTTTGAAATTTATGCTTCGTAAATTGGAAGATTTCTATGTGCAGATTATTAAACCACCTGATGAGTCTGTGAAATTCAGACGAAATCCGGATCGTGGTAACTAATTTGTACAACTCACACACCTCAGTTTAACGAGCGGACAATATGGTAACTTTAGCTGACGTATTTAGTTTCGATCGAATGACTTGAGACAAAACGAAACAAACCAGGAACGTTTCTTTCTATGTCCAACAACATACAATGAATATGAATACCATTCAAAGTCAAATACGCGAAAATGTATACGGGACAATGATGTTTGTCTATCTATCAAAACAAGACGTTGAACGAGAAGTATACAACCAATAATCTAAAAGTGATACGAGAAAAAAGACTATTGACGCACATACACCATATGCATTATTATGAATACTACACATCGGTCGTTATTGCCAACGTGGCTTCCGAGTACTCCGATGGTGACCATTTATTATTTTTCGAAAAGATTTCAATGTTGATTTTCGGCGATCATGATGTGATCAGTTTCAATTAGTGAGATTTATCTTTTTCTTGTTCTCTACTTTTCGATAGATGATTGAACGATTGGAGTAGACCAATGAGAAATGGGATATACCATTTTCTTCCTTTCCTCTCTCTGTCTCTGTCTCCCTTCTCAGCCTATATATAGTCGATGTCGTCCCGTGCAATGTTCTTTTACCTTTTCGATTTTAAATTTCATCCCTCTTTCCACAATCAACATCTTCATTAGACGGTCAGTTCATTTCCTTTTCATTCCTATTTAGACGTACGATTATCTCAAGATGATAAGACAGTGAGTTCACAGCTTTCGTCATTGGAAAAATGTTCGAGAAGTTTTTCGTTTTCTTCATGAGAATATTTCTCTCATCCAATTTTCTCTTGTGTCTAATATGTCTCCTACGGCTAGGTACACGGAAAATCTATTCGAAAAAATATATTTACTAAAAACAAATGGATGCAACCAACGGTCAAAACATGAAATCAGTCGATGCAGACAATCAAGGAAATGAAAACAACGATGAAGAACGCTCAAATAGCGTTTCACAAGAGCAATGTATTTCAACGACTCGTTCAGCAACATTAGACCTGGTTAGTTTATTGTAGAATGCACATGGCCGATGTCCATTTTGTTTCGCATTGCTAACGAATCAAGCTCATTTCTTTTTATTTCTTGTTTTTCTTAGACATCCAACAACGCGTCCTCATATGGACGTACTTATCCTCACAATACTTCTAATCTTCATGTGACACCTTCAACGAGCAATATACAACCACGTTCTTTTCAAGCGAGTACTACTACTGACATGGAACCTTTTGTGGACATGGAAGATAGCGTTAACAGTGGCTATGATATACTATTACAAGAGTTGGAGGCGGAAACGCATCCATGTTATCACCATGAGAAGAATTGCAAGACACACGAAGAAGAAGAAGAAGAAGACGAAGATCACAGAGCAATTGCTATCGTCAATCATACAGCACTGGAACAACAATGTGGTGGTTTCTATGAGATTTCTAACGAACAACTAGATGAAGAAACTGAACAACTACGTCAGTTAATTGTCACTCAACGGCCAATGAATGATGAAATAGCTGAGCATATTTTCAAACAATTGAATTTTACGCCGTACAGTATGACGGATATGATAGCAGATACATCTCCAAATGGCAGTTCTGTTATTCTCGATAATGCTAGTATTGATCTTGTCTCACGAACACCTTCCATTATTTTATCATTATCACAACCACCACTACCACCACCACCACCACCATCATCATCATCATCATCATCATCATCATCATCAACACCAGCAACAACAACAACAACAACAACAGGAACACGACGTCCGTATCCACCAATGAATCAAACGGGTCTTATCGACGATCATGATCGTCCCCATGCTGATTACGGCCATCTTAATCGGCAAACTATTGCACAAGAATTTCATTTTAACTTAGTGTCACCATCGGCAACCGTCGATGTACGAAAACGATTTCGATTAAATACAAAATCTCTTGCTATAACATCATGGACAAACGTTGCAAAAGAACGTGTTATGGACCACATCAAAGAAGAATTGGATGTTGAAAATATTCAATATATTTGTATTGGCGAAGAAATAAGTCGACGAACTCATCGACGACATTTACATATACAAATTATATTGAAAAATAAAATCAATAAGAAAACGCGATTTCTCGATTCAATCACTCGAACACATTGTAATTACCAGGTGACAAGAAATGATCGAGCATGGAATGAATATATTAAAAAAGGAGGCAATTATATTGAATTCAATACATTTAAATCAACAACAAAACTTCAAGGAAAACGATGGCCGCCCTCATCATTATCATCATCATCATCAATATCAATACCGTCGTCAGCACCAGCGGCGGCGGCAGCACCGGCGGCGGCACCATCAGCACTAGCAGCACTAGCACCACCAACACCCAACACGACTGCTCGAGGACAAGTAGAGTTGCGACGTCAATATGCAAATGATGTCGCACGAGAAGCACTGACACTAGCAGAGACAAGTATTGATTCTGCAATGGATTTTGTTCGAACAAAAATGCCAAGAGAATTTCTGCACAATTCCACCTGGTATACAAAAGTTCCACACAAAGTCCTAATTCTTCGTTTGATTATTTCTAGGTATTTACATACATTCAAATATGTTCATTTACGGGTAGAACAAGATCTTGACGAACAACGTCGTAATCATAAAGAACATACATGGCCTGATTCATTTGCTAATTGTACACCTGCATTACGTATGTAGATCATATTTCCTATTCTCTTCCTCAACGATGTTTTTAATTTGTTTTTTTTTGCGGGGAACTATTCTAGGTGAAGTTGTCACTCGTTGGCTCAATGAAGAATTTATAAAAACATCACGAGCGAAATGTTTGATTTTAATTGGAGGAACTGGCACTGGCAAAACATCATTTGCCAAATCATTACCTGGTCAAAACAATTATTTTCAAGGACGTTGGCGATTAGATACTTGGAAAGATTCGGCTCGTTATCTCATATTTGATGATATTCCATGGGATAAATTTGAGCAATTAGGTTTTCCTCCGAAAAAAGCTTTACTAACACAGAATGGCATAACTATCGTATGTGTATAACAGTGTGTGTTATTCCGTTATCTGAAGTAGCCAATGAATACACATTTTGATTTCGTTTTTCCTTTTCTCGAATTCTACATGTCATTTTTTTAGGCGACAGACAAATATAAGCCTTGCACAGAAATCAATATTCAACAACCTGCTATTGTTCTTCTCAATCCTGAGGACGCTGGCTCGTTAATTGCTGAACCAGCGAATACTGCAGAGCGAGGATTCGTTCAATACTGGCAGCATCGTGCAATCGTCTATCGATTAGGTAAGATCAACATCAGCAATTGCAGATAAAAATAGACAATATTCGTTTCATTTTTTCTTCTTCGTTTAATTCAAACATATGTAGGCCCAGACGAATATTTTCACCGGCCAGGCCATGATGGGAACGATTCTCCCATGGACGACTAACCAACAATCATCAAATCAAAGTTGTCAACTCTATCTCTTTAACAGACAACTCTCAAGATGCAGATTGATCAATGGAACAAATTGTGTCAACGCTATCAAAAAAAACATTCGAAACAAAACAAATAGTCCTGCCGATGCTCTGCTCATACGAACCTTAGCATTTCAACAGACTGTTATTGTTTTGTGCTCTACTTCTACTCGACATTTCTTTCGATTCTTCATTTCTTTTACCTTGCTCTTCGATATCATTTAATTATTCAACCCTATTTAGCATTATCCACTTACTCTATGCGTCTCTCTATTTCAAAATTAGCTTTTTTTTTGTAGCCTTGTTTCTTCTATTCATTTATTCATTTCTACTTTATTTATTCACATATTTATCTAACCATTTATCTATCTATTCACAAATATATGCTCATTGCTCATTTGTTCGTCTAGATAATCTACTTTTAAATGTACATAGCCACAATACAACATCATACCACATAATCGTAAACTCAGCAATTGTTCACACGCCCTTTCAGCATATCACATATTGAGGGTGCCGCGAACAGCCCGGTCAGTAGACAAAGCATGAATAATGGCTGGAATAGGTGAACACTTGAATAGATAACTAAAATAGTTGCACTGAAGTTTCGAGTTTGACACAATTGGATTCCTTCGGTGGTGACGTTACCACCTGTTGACAATAGTCATGATATGTTGACCATTGTCGGTGCGGCCGTGTTGTACTTTGATGTGACACACATGAGTAGAATATGATTATCGCGGTGAATTTCACGCCTTTTGTTCTTTACTCCAAATGAATGACTCTCTCTCTCTTTCCTCTCTCTTTCTCTTGTTACCAAACGACCAATATCAATANATCTTGTAGTTGAAACGAAGCTTTGCCAATTGTTAAATTTCCTAGTAGTCGTGTTCTTTTTCCTAATAGCATCTTAGACATAATAGCTGTATTTATAAACGAGCGATTAGTCTTATTCGCTATAACTCGTTTTTCTTCTCCTATTGAACTGCATCAATTGTTTCTATTTCAGATATTTTATTTCTACTACTACTACTACTACATTTTATCATCCAGTTAACTAGGAAAAGTTCAAATTCTTTTCATTAAAAGGTAAACATTTTTCATTCTTATTTACTAGCGTTTAGTATAGGGGAATAAAGTCTACACAATCACATCTTGAAGGCGACAGAGAAAGAAGATTGACATGTGCGCGGGTTATCTCTCGTTCGTTTCACAAAATATCAATGAATGATTTCACAACTTTAAGCATAAGAAAAGTAAATTAATGTAGTTTCATATTTGCAACATTCGTTATTTCTATTTCTTTTCGCTATCTCTTGAACTTATCTACTATAGATTTCTTCAACCTAAGTTTAAATGTGAAGTCCAAGTGCAGTTATCATTCCGACATATCGAATTAAGTTAATAGTAATGGATCTATGATCATTCGTAGGTCATGCAAGGACTTTTATTTTTTCGTGTATGAGTGCAACTTATCACTAAGAATGCAACTCAAAATCATGATCCTTTCTACATTTTTCGAAGCGAGTTCGTGTCCATCAATTGATTGGAAATGAAGAGAATAGATCAAAGAGAATAGATGATGAAAGGAAGAAACACGAATATGCTGATATGTCTATCAAGTCAACCGCTTTAAAATCGGTTTCGAATTGACAACGGACTCCTCACAGGTAATCGATCATGCTCGATCCAGAAATCATGGCCTTGAGGGTTAATACATTTTCGACGAGCACGTTTTCTAAAGACCGGATCTCCAGAAAACCAAACCAATTTCCCGAATGTTCTTTTCCCTCTTAGCTCAACTCTTGAGATACACAACAGTTTATTTATTCATGAAGCAAAAACTTTCTCTCTCTCCTATGGCATCTTTTGAAGATATACTTATGGTGATCCGTATGTAAACAACGCAAAACATCGTGTTTATCGCTCATTTACTATCGCTAAGAAAGAGTCCGTCACGACACATTAACGATTCCTTCTACACTATCAGTTGAGCAAAGGAAATAAGGAAACTTTCAAAAACGAATTGATTCTATAAAACCCCGGTTTTCAGAAAACCGTTTTTTGGAAGTTATTACATGTAAAGAGCATGATTTTCGAATTCGCCATGGTGGATTACGTCCAGTTAACCGACTCTCGACTCGGAAGCCAGTAGAAAACTAACGAACCTTCTCTCATGCGATTTATTTTTCTTTCTCTTCCTGTCGTCTCGTCCCGTCTCGTATTCGTTCTATCAAGGTGACCAATTGTTTTCGAACAAAAACACTCTCTTTCTCTCTATCTCTCTATCTCTCTGTCTCTCTCTTTCTCTCATGAGATTTATTTTTCTTTCTCTTCCTGTCGTCTCGTCCCGTCTCGTATTCGTTCTATCAAGGTGACCAATTGTTTTTGAACAAAAACACTCTCTTTCTCTCTATGTCTCTATTTCTCTCTGTCTCTCTTGTCTCCGACATATAAATAGCACCGCATACCATCAGTCCCATCTCATTCCATCTACACTCCTCGATAAAGGTAAGTCACTTTCTTCTTCTTCTTCGTCGTCTACTTCTCAGCTCACATGATAGGACATTAACTATAGTCAGACTTTCAATCAGATTGCTGTCCATCGAATAATTTCACTTATGTTTGACACAGTCTATAACCTGAGAGCTCTGTACTATGAAACACATGGTTTCCAAAAATACACTAGTCACTGAAACCTTCCTCTGACTCAAATCATGCATCACTTCCATATTCTCTCTTGTCCAGTATTGCAATGAGCAGACCAGATATTTCCCCTTCGATTCCAATCACGAATACTACCATACACGACAGTGCTGGCAGCATATAAAATATTGCCGTGCCCTTCGAACGTCTATATGACACCTTGGACGAGGTCGATTTTTTTCGACTGCATCCCTCTTTAGACTCTTCTTGCTTCACTATGCCGACAATCCTACCCCGCACCAAATCAGATCACGGTTCCTTCATCAATTTGGGTGGTGTTGAAGAAAGCAAACATCTCGCCACCGGCGACAACAGCCCCATCTTCATTGGGGATTCCCGACCTCCTGCACACGACACATGGCTACGTTTCGCCGGCAAACAAGCCGGTCGGCTAATCGAAGGTACAACTGATGTGGCTACCGCGCCAGTGAAATGGTTAAACCATATGCAAGATAACTGGTAAGTCGTCATACTACTTAACGTTCCATGATACAGATGTCTCTTACCGCATCACTAAATCTACCTTGCACACGTAAAAAATCTCATTCTCATTCGTACTAATCACAACACAGAGATCATTCCAGTTCATTTTCAATACCTGACAGGTCATCTCCAACATTCATAACCTCTAGTCAAATCTACACTTCTCCAAATTTCATTCACCTCACACCCGATGCACACCGATAGCACTTCATTTCGATTCTCCTTTCCATAGTGTAGACTCTTAGTACTATAGTGCCACCACTGTCTTCGTGTTTTCCGCTTTTGTCTTCTTTTTTTCTCATTTATCGGAGTTCACGGCTGCCTAACATGGCGGTCGGTTCTCCTTGTTTGTTTTTTTCTCATTTATCGGAGTTCACGGCTGCCTAACATGGCGGTAGGTTCTCCTTGTTTGTTTTTTTCTCATTTATCGGAGTTCACGGCTGCCTAACATGGCGGTAGGTTCTCCTTGTTTGTTTTTGCGCTTTTGTTTTCTTTTTTTCTCATTTATCGGAGTTGAGGGCTGCCTAACATGGCGGTAGGTTCTCCTTGTTTGTTTTTNTTAATCTCTATATACTATTTCTCTTCATGCATTTCGAATGCGCTGATCTTGTAGTTGAAACGAAGCTTTGCCAATTGTTAAATTTCCTAGTAGTCGTGCTCTTTTTCCTAATAGCATCTTAGTCATAATAGCTGTATTTATCAACGAGCGATTAGTCTCATTCGCTATAACTCGTTTTTCTTCTCCTATTGAACTGCATCAATTGTTTCTATTTCAGATATTTTATTTCTACTACTACTACTACATTTTATCATCCAGCTACCTAGGAAAAGTTCAAATTCTTTTTATTAAAAGGTAAACATTTTTCATTCTTATTTACTAACGTTTAGTATAGGGGAAGAAAGTCTACACAATCACATCTTGAGAGCGACAGAGAAAGAAGATTGACATGCGCGCGGGTTATCTCTCGTTCGTTTCACAAAATATCAATGAATGATTTCACAACTTTAACCATACGAAAAGTAAATTAATGTAGTTTCATATTTGAAACATTCGTTATTTCTATCTCTTTTCGCTATCTCTTGAACTTATCTACTATAGATTTCTTCAACCTAAGTTTAAATGTGAAGTCCAAGTGCAGTTATCATTCCGATATATCGAATTAAGTTGATAGTAATGGATCTATGTTCATTCGTAGATTATGCAAGGACTTTTATTTTTTCGTGTATGAGTGCAACTTATCACTAAGAATGCAACTCAAAATCATGATCCTTTCTACATTTTTCGAAGCGCGTTCGTCTCCATCAATTGATTGGAAATGAAGAGAATAGATCAAAGAGAATAGATGATGAAAGGAAGAAGCACGAATATGCTGATATGTGTATCAAGTCAACCGCTTTAAAATCGGTTTCGAACTGACAACGGGCTCCTCCTCACAGGTAATCGATCATGCTCGATCCAGAAATCATGGCCTTTATGGTTAATACTTTTTCGAAGAGCACGTTTTCTAAAGACCGGATCTCCAGAAAACCAAACCAATTTCCCGAATGTTCTTTTCTCTCTTAGCTCAACTCTTAAGATACACAACAGTTTATTCATGAAACAAAAACTTTTTCTCTCTCCTATGGCATCTTTTGAAGATATATCTTGAGGGTGATCGGCATGTCAACAACGCAAAACATCGTATTTATCGCTCCTTTACTATCGCTAAGAAAGAGTCCGTCACGACACATTAACGATTCCTTCTACACTATCAGTTGAGCAAAGGAAATAAGGAGATTTTCAAAAAACGAATTGGTTCCATAGAATCCCGGTTTTCAGAAAACCTTTTTTGGAAGTTATTACATGTAACGAGCATGATTTTCGAATTCGCCATGGTGGATTACGTCCAGTTAACCGAGTCTCGACTCCAAAGCCTAGTAGAAAATTAACGACCTTCTCTTATGAGATTTATTTTTCTTTCTCTTCCTGTCGTCTCGTCTCGTCTCGTATTCGTTCTATCAAGGCGACCAATTGTTTTTGCACAAAATCACTCTCTTTCTCTATGTCTCTCTGTTTCTCTCTGTCTCTCTCTCTCTTTCTATCATGAGATTTATTTTTCTTTCTCTTCCTGTCGTCTCGTCTCGTCTCGTCTCGTACTCGTTCTATCAAGGTGACCAATTATTTTTGCACAAAAACACTCTCTTTCTCTCTATCTCTCTGTCTCTCTCTGTCTCTTGTCTCCGACATATAAATCGCACCGCATACC